CTGGAACAGAAGAACGTCACTCTCAATTTTGCTGAGATCTGAAAATCTCTCCAAAAAAATGCTTATTTAAGTCACTAATAATCTTCTTCGGAAACTCGAGGTTGACATCTTCTGCGATTCCAGCGCAAAAATCTTTGAAACACTGAAAATGAGAGAAGTTTCCTCCTTCCAGTTGTGCTTCAAACAATGATAGCTTTCTCCGAAATCCTTTGATGATTCTGTAGAGATCACAGATAAGGTTATTCTTTCCCTGAAGTTTCAAGTGCAATTCATTCATGTGGGATGTGATGTCAACTTTGACAGCCAGGTAGGATCTGACAGAAGTAGATCAGCTCTATCCTTTTCGGTGAGAAAAATATCTATTTCTCTTCGGAGCTTATAAAAACGAAACAGGACTTTACCGCAGCTGAGCCACCTCACTGCTGTGTGATAAGGCAAGTCACAGAATTCAGAATCAATTTCTTCAAGAAAAGCCTGGTACTGGTGGTGATTAAGTGAATGACCCCGAATGAAGTTCACCGCAAAACGACTGGTTTCAGTACGCAAGAAATATCTAAGTCTTTCCTAGAGAGTGCTTGCTGATGTATAATGCAGTGTATAAACATAGCGCCCGGGAGATGAAGATCTTCCAACTTAGTTCGTATCTGCCCCACCAGACCCTTCCTCACTCCAGCCATGTTTTTTCCTCCATGAACTGTAACACATCGAAACTGATTCCACTGAAGGTTATAGCCTTGCAAAGTTTTCTGCACTTCCATGAAAATGTCTTCTCCAGTTGTTGTTCCGTGCGTGCTGCAAATGGATGCCAACTTTTCTGTGATCTGAAAGTCCAAATTAACACCACGAATGAACATGAGAAGTTGTGACGTACTCGAGAGATCATTAGACTCACCCAGCAACAAAGAATACCACAAGAAGTCCCTAGCTTTCTCGCGTATCTGTAACAACATGTTCTCCTCAAGTTCTTCTGTTCTCCGCACAACTGAACTTGCTGAAAGGCTGATACTTCCAAACAAATCGGCTTTCTCAGGACACAAGTCATTTGCTGCTTCCATCATACACTCTTTGATGAAGTTGCCGTCAGTAAACGGTTTTCCTCGCTCTGCCATCTTATGCACTATTTTGTAACTTGTACGAGTGACAGATTCATTTGCAGCAAACATTCTCGTGAAGAGATTCCTTTGAGATTCCAAAGTACGTTTCATGAACTCAAATTTCTCGAAACGCAACTTTCCAGAAAACTTCGAATATGTTGACAGATGTTTTGTTTCATAGTGATGCCGAAGATTGTACTCTTTCAAACCGGCAACAGTTTCGTTGCATATCATGTAACTAGCTTTCTGGTTGTTTGTTTCCACAAAGAAGTACTTTTCTCCCCATTCTTCATTGAAAAGGCGACATTCAGCATCTACTTTTCTTTTCTTAGTAGCCATAACGATGGGTGAAGAAAACAGGATCTGAAAATGAAAAACATTTGTTTATTTCCACATTGAATAGTCTACCAAAAAAGTTGTAGAAAGATGATAATTATTCAAAATGTTTTTGACATGTATATAAACATGACAAACTAAATGTAAATAGTTCATGACATTAAATTGCGTTATTACGCAATTGGTTTAAAAGTTATTTCTCGATAAGTTATTTGATTAAGCAATTTTTATAACTTGCCAATGTATTTTAAATTTATTATGTTAATTAGAAGAGCTTTATAAAAAAATAATTAAGATCATATTTAATAAAAATATTAAGAATCTTAATAGGCAAATATAGTATTAAGAATTTGATACTAATTTAATTAAAATATTTGTTAATTTAATTAAGTCGTTTTAGCTCATTTGTAGCACAGTGCAGTGGTAGACTGGATGAACTGACCTCGCAGGCCGGATCTGGCCCACGGGCCATAGATTGGTGACCCTTGTCTCAATAGATAGAGAGAAAATTAAGAAAAAATACTTAGAAGTTCAGTTATCTCTCAATAGATGGAGAACTAATAAGAAAAAATACTTAGAAGTTCAGCTATCTCTCAATAGATGG